AAAAAAAAAAGAAAACAAGAAAATAATTATGGTTGAGGGGTCACCACCACATGAAGACCTGTATGAAAGGGTCACAGCATTAGGAAGGTTGAGAACCACTGCTTTAGAGCATGATTGCTCTTATCTACAGCTAGCCTTTAGGCATAGTGAAGTAGCCAGACACAGAAATGATTCATCTATTACAGTAATTCCTTTGACTGCTCCTTAGTGGAGAGCTATTGCGGTGTATTTAAATTGGGGGGGATGCGGGGGCACATTACTTAGCCTGGAGAATGTGTATTTGAAAACATTTCTATCTCGGAACAATGGAGATTCTTTCTATAAATAGAGTTAGTTTTCTATGCCCATGGTTGCGAGCAAGCGTAGAAATAAGGTCCACCAAGTCCTGTTTACTTTCAGCCAGTGCAGAACTAATTGAACTAGCATGTGAGGAGCCCTGGTGGTGTAGTGGTTACGCATTGGAACGCAATGCCAAAGCTTAGCAGTTCAATGCCACCAGTTGCTCCTCTGGGAGAAAGATGGGGCTTTCTAATTACAGTTTTGGAAACCCACTGTTATATTGGGTCACTATGAGTTGACATTGACTTGAGGTAGTGAGTGAGGGTTTTTTGGGTGCTAACAAAGCTGATTTTAAAACCACTGTATTTAACATTTCCCCTAAACCAAACCATACCCTCTGCCATTGAACCCATTCTGACCCATGGTGATCCTCCAGAGGGTTCCTGAGACCGCAAATCTTTATGGGAGCACTCAGCCTGATCGGTCTGCAGAGCGAGCAGCTGGTGGGTTCAAACCACTGACCTTGCATTTAGCCGTGCAGCCCTTATCCCACTGCACCATCAGCCCTCATTTTTTGTTTTCAGTCCTCCTTATTTAACATCTTGGCCCATCTTACATGTTTCGCTAAAAATCCATTTCTAGCAAGAGTCCCAGGAAAAGGCCCACTGGTTTGCCCGGCAGTGTTGGCAAGCCCAGCTGGTGGAGGCAGGGCTGTTTTGTCCCTATGTGGAGGTAAGTATGGCTCCAGATGTGTATGGGCATCAGACTGACAAGAGGACAAGGTGGCTTTGTGACATGGTAACTTGACTTACAGCCTCCAGTTACGGGATCAAATGGTGATCTGGGTTATCACCATGAAGCTATTTGGTAGGTGTAATTAAAGCCACTCCTCAACTGACTTTAAAGAGTTTTTTCCTGGATAATCTGGGTGGGCCTGGTTGAATCACTTAGGTCTTGAGAGCAGGGCTGATGTAAGCAACCTCATGAGCAATTTGCATCTAAATTGTTACATGGGAAACTAGTTCACTGTGTAAACTTTTACCTAAAACCAAAATGCTGGAGAAGGGAAGTCTACCCTCCCTCCTTCCTGAGTGGCTGCTCTGCAGACGTTGCCCTTACCAGGCCCTACAACCACAAGCTCATTCCTTAGAGCCTGTTTTAAAAAAGAAAATGTATCATTTTCCTGGGGGCTCATACAGCTCTTATCACAATAAACCCATCCAGCCATCGGGTCAAGCACATTTGTTGCTGTCATTTCCAAAACATTTCTACTTGAGCTTAGTATTGGCTCATTTTCCCCCCTTCCTCACGAACCCTTGATAATTTATAAATTTTTTCATGTCTTACACTGACCAGTGTCTCCCCTCACCCACTTTTCTGTTGTCCAGCCGCCTGGGAGGGGGTTCTATGTGGATCCTTGTGATCGGTTCCTCTCCCCCGACATTCCCCTTCTCCTCCTGGCATGGCTGCTCTCTGTATGGGGCCTGAGGGGAAGCCCTGCAGGCCCAGTGGGCTGAGAGTTAGAAAAACTGAGCGGTCCCTCCCAGCTGCTCCACAGAACAGGCAGTGGGCTCCTGTCCAGGTTTATGGCCTGTGGGACAGCTCTACTGGCCTAGGTCACCAAGTCAGTGTCAATGGAGGCTTCCTTTTGCTTCTGTGGGTCTTGATACAGAAATAAAGCAATGAACATGAATGTCCACAAGAGGGCCTCATAGTCCCAATTAGGTTTACACATAGGCACGATTCAAAGGTGACTTAGTGATCCTTTAGGACAGGGTAAAACTGCCTGTGAGTTTCCAAGACTTTACAGAAGGCCCTTGCTCCTGAGGAGGAGCAGCTGATGGCCTTGAACTGCTGACCTTGCAGACTGCAGCCCACTCTGTACCACTACCACCACCACCAGGGATCCTGGGTTTCAAGATTTAGGGGAAGAAAAAGACCAGATCTCTTCAAGTGGCAGGCAGGAACCACTTTTAAAGAAACGTACTGCTTCACTAGAACCATGCTGTCTGCTAGGCAGTTAGATCAACACTATCGATTTGCTCCATGAGTTCTTGAAGTAATGCTTGTCTCATCCAGCTCAGAGTGAGCCTACAAGTCACACTCTGCCACCAAGGCTCGTCTGCACTCACAACTCTTCATGACAGCAGCGGAGAGTGGTCCCTGCGGGCTGCCAAGACTGGAAATGGAAAGGCTCATCTTTGCCCCATTTCGGACTGCTGACCAGTGAAAAGGAGCAGCTCAATTTTAGTTCAACAGGGTCCCAAGGGCCTTTAGATGCCTGCTTCCCTCCTACCATCTTATTCTCTTACCTGCTTCCTCTAGAAACAGAGACTTAATTTCAGGCCCCCAAACCTGGAGGCCCAGCTCAGGAAACGACCTAGAATAGCACAGCATTTGTATTTTCTTCCAGGGAAGGTGCCAGGCTCTTGCCTTCTAGTTCAGACCTTATTCTGCTCCAGCTTCTGTGAGTGTCCTCAAGCTACCTTTCTGCCCACCTCCCTACCTGTCACGACACACACCGTTACAATGCTGTGAGCACTAAATGGACGTTCAGTCTGTCTGTTTAGGACAGATGCACAGCAGCAGCCCACGAACACAGATTGTCACTGTCTGCACACAGTGAGTCTGCATACACCGAGACCAAGCACTCTCAGGGGTCACTGATGTTTATTTTGCAAACAAAACCACTGCCTGTTGACACCTTGGGATGCCACTGGGACACTTGGTGGGAAGCTTGAGAGAAGGGTGAGGAGTTGGGCTGTCACAGGATCACAAAGCTGGGGTTTCCAACAGGCGTCCAGATGGTCTGGCTTGGCTGCGGGGGCAGCTCTAATGAAGCGGCGAGAACACCGACAGGCTCGGGGGAGGGGCTACCAGAGGTCTGCCTGCCCAGCTTATTTGGCGAGGGGATTTCTGAACTTCTGGCCAGCAAACTTGGCCTTGCTGCCCAGCTCCTCTTCAATTCTGGGGAAGCCAAAGCAGGGAGAAAAGGGGGGAGAAAGATTACACCTCAGTGCAGGAAGTGTTCCCACCTCTCAATCTATCAAAGGCTTAGCCCCACGGCCTCTGAGGATCCCCGAGCACCCCATCCACGCTGCCCTCGTTTCTAGGACACCAGGGGCCTAAGAGCATTCAGCTCCCTGACGCTCCAAACCACCCTGCAAGCTACCATCTGTGTCCTAACCACCCCATATCCCTTAGTCTTTTCAGGGAGCAAAGCAAATACATGCCCGGGGCAGAAAGTAGTAGACCCTTATTACAAGATGGAATGTGGAGGCCCTGCTGGGATCCCGACACCAGACAACTTAAGTCAACAGCAGCGGCAGAGAGAAGATGGCAGCCAGGTGACAGGTACACGGAAGTACATTCTACTAGTCTGTTCCTCATGCTCGAAAATCCCAGCATAAAATAAAAGGCTGATGTGGGACATGGGAGCCTTGACAGTGCAGTGGATAAAGGTCAGTGGGGTTTGAACCCCCAGCCCCCATGTGGGAGAAAGAGAAGGCAGCAGACTTCCGTACAGGACTACGAGGCCTTGGAAACGATGGGGCAGGACACAAGCTGGATCCAAATTCTAAAAGGTTTAGGTTAAATTGTCCAGAAGACATGCCTCAGCTCTCTCCCGCCACAGGGTGGCAAGCACTGTACAGAGAAGGCTCTGGCATTGTGTTCAGGGCCCCAGAGGACTTGTGTTGCCAGGGTCTGTGGGACAGCTCAGCCTCCCTGTACTGTGCAGCACCCCCACGTGCCCGCCTCAGAATCAGGAGCCCGTGTGTGAAAGGGAGTGTCGGCCCCAGGGTGGGGGCCCTGCTAAGTCACAGTCCGAGGTTACCAAGGGCACTTCTTTACCTGAGGATCTGGTTGTACTTGGCCAGGCGTTCAGATCGGCACGGCGCACCAGTCTTGATCTGGAAGGAAACCATAAGGTCACAACTGCTTCTGGTTGGAGAGTCAACCTTCATGGGTGTTCTGGGGCAGGGAGAAGTAGTCGTGGTGGAAAAGAAGGGGTGGTGGTGTTTGTGTTGTGTGTCAAAGTTATGACAACGTCTTATGTGTTCAACCTAACACCTTGAAGAAGGGAGTCACTGAGCTGGAGTATCAGGGGACAGTCAACTGGCATAATGTCGCCCACTATGTCACTCCCCATCCTACTTTGCAGAATAGTGACTGAGTTCTTAAATGCTTCTACGTAGCCACCTCAGGGGCAACTACTGGGCTTTCCTTGTCGGAGGAAAGAAATCAAAGACACATTGAAACAACTCCTTAGAGGAATAATGGGCCAGTCAAACCCATGAAAACTAGATGGTGCCCAGATACTACTGCCAATCGCCCAGCAAGGGATCACATTAGACGATCCTGGAGATAGTGAGAGGAGTGTGGAACAGCTCACGATCACGAGAAAGACCAAACTTGTAGAGTGGATGCAGGCCAGTGGAGTCCTCCAGACTACGGCTCTTGGTCACTTGTTGGGTCCGGAACACAACTCACTACCCTGAAGACTCAATTTTCAGCCCAACAGAGGGGGAAAGGGCAGCATAATAGTAAGGATGTGAGCACAGCTTAGGATACGTAACCACCTGGGACGAAGGAACGAGGCTGAGGTGGGCCAGGAGAGGAGGATGAGGAACGTTGTACTGGGGGATTGCAGTAAGTAAGATATAACAGAATGTGTATGAATTGTTGGATGTCAAACCTGCGCTGTAAACCTTCACCAGAATGATCATATAGTTGTTTTAAAGGCGGGTCAGAGGATAGGGCATCTGTGCTGTCAAACTTGAAGCAGCGCTCGTACCATCAGAAGGTTTGGAGTATTCCCAGCCAGTGGCGATCAGAGACAATGCAGGACACATAGATCTTACCTGTCCAGTGCAGAGTCCCACCACCAGGTCAGCAATGAAAGTATCCTCGGTCTCCCCAGAACGATGAGACACCATGACGCCCCATCCATTGGACTGGGCCAGCTTGCACCTAGACACCAGAATAAAAGCCCAGAGGGCATTGGCTCTACTGCCCAGGGACAACAAACAGCCTCTTTCAGCAAGTGTGCCACAACCAGGCTATTCATCAGCCCTGAGAGGGTGGTCTGAGACTGGAGGGACACGAGGGAGGGAGGGCTGAGCTGTCCACTCCCAGTCTTTGCAGGAGCAGAGGACTACTTGGGAGAGGATCCAGGAAGGGCCAAACGATACAAGGAAGACCCTTGAGCACAGCTGAGGATCTTCTCAGCATCCAGCCCTGTCTGAGTAACGAGGTTCAGCCTCCTTTGAAGGATGAGACCAGCCTCCTGACATAACCCTCCCCTGCACCATACAGTGGTTACAAGGCTCCAGGTGAATGATAAGTAGACACCTATTCCTTCCCAAGCATGTAGAGCCAGGGCTAGGAAGCTGGATACCCTGTCCCCTTAATGTGTGGCACTTTAGTTAAACGCCATGTGAAGTTTAAATGGGAAACCCACCACAAACCCACCCACCTAGTGCTAAGCTTCCAGCACTAGGCCTCCAACCTGTGAAGACCTGTTCCTCATGAAGCTGCTCCTGAGAGGGAGCGGGTACTCACGCCTGCAGAGATTCGGTCACGGAGCCGATCTGGTTCACTTTGAGCAGGAGGCAGTTGCACGACTTCTCGCCCACGGCCTTGGCGATTCGCTTCGGGTTGGTCACTGTGAGATCATCCCCTACCACCTGGATCCCTGAACTGGCAGTGAACTTGGCCCAAGCGTCCCAGTCATCCTGGTCGAAGGGGTCTTCGATAGACACCACTGAGCAAAGGAGGTAGTCTCATCAGTGTGGCCCGCCATGAGGGAGGACCCAACCCCACACCCACAGACCTGGTTTCCTTTCTGACGTGCTACCCACCTGGCCTCCTTTACACATCTGGAAACCTTTACTGTGCCAACCTGTTCCCACAAGTGGACATGACTCACCCACAACTGTGGGGCTCTAACTTTTCAAAGTAAGGGTTTCAGACTATTGCCAGAGGGTTAAGAAAAGAGCTACAAACTTAGCAGACTAGACTGAGCTGGTCTCGGCTCAATCTTGAGGAACTTCCTGCCACAGGGGTTAAACGCAGGGGCGCTCTGGGATTAGTCTTGCTGTC